CTATATGAACTTTCAGATATTATTTCGAACGAAGTACACCCATCACGATTGTTGACATTTTAAAAATATGTGTTGGCTATATGAACTTTCAGATATTATTTCGAACGAAGTACACCCATCACGATTGTTCACATTTTAAAAATATGTGTTGGCTATATGAACTTTCAGATATTATTTCGAACGAAGTACACCCATCACGGTCGCTTTATAAACCAAAAACAATGTTTTTTTTCTGAAAAAATATGCTACCTAGTGTGCTATTTCACAGATATTGATTCCGGCGGTACCCAAAAAAAGGAGTTTATCCGAAAAATTGTGGTTCTGACACATTTATCGCCACGCGTTCAGCCCGGCCATAACGTCATGCGCTTTTAACCTTACACTTTAAACTAGTACTTTTTGCCGCTTTGACCTATGCTGCCTTCCTTATCATCGCTTCTCCAGCATGCTGTGTATGGGGGAAACGCTGGGGCTACGCGTTTTCCTGTGCCGTCGCGCTCAGACGACGGCCATAGCGAGCCACCTTTCACGTCATTCGGCGGGACGCGCAACACTCAGCAGCCACCGCTTCGTCTGCCACAAGCACCGCTTCTTCAGCACAGATTGTGGCATGGTGGTGCGGTCGGCACCGTCGGAAGCCAGGCTGTCACCGTCGAAGTAGAGGATGATGGTTCGCTCGACTGTGATGACAACGATGCATGGGACATCTTCGACAGCATCAACTGGGACATCGGTGGAGTGGACGAAGTTGACATCAGCAGTAACGACGGGTCGTCCGCAGATGAGCATGTTGCGGACCGTGTCGTTGTAGTCGCCGAAGCGATGGCCAAACACACACGGAAGAAAGACGTTTACGACTGGGCAATGGTGGGCAAGTTTGAGTCGTACACGATGGCCAAAGACAGTGTGGCGCCGTCTTGCACACAATCGACGAAGAAGACAAAGTGCACGGTCTGTCTTGGTCCAGGAGTGCATGAGATGTGTATGCGGTACATGAAATGCACTTGCCGCGAGCAGTGCACGAAGCAGCTGCGTGTCTTAACCTGCTCGACTTCGAAACGCGCAGTGGTATACAAACGCGGCCAGTACGGAGATTGCGACCCTCCACGCCCAGGCACAATGTCCCGCAGTATTCGTGACCAGGCAGACCGCCTCTTCGCCGAAGGTATCACACCAAGTCGAGCACAACATAGACTAAAAAGTGTGGTGCCTGCTCATACAATGCCGCGTCTGAAGACGTTCCAGAGTCGCTGCCGGTACTACCGGCTTAGCACTCTTGGTGAGCACAGCAAGCCTTCGGTGATGGCTCGCCTGCTTGTGGAGAGCAAGATCGACGACGGGCGGGACAGCACCACTTTTTTCTCGTTTGGCTTCGAAGTCGTGGAGGGTATCCCTCACATCGGTTATGGCGGGTCTTCTGGTGTATTCAAAGTTGGCATCACGACGAAGCAGCTACTGCACGGCATGAATCGTGACCCTTCGTCATTCGTGTTCCATTGGGACGCCACGTACAAGATCAATTCCATGGCGTACCCCGTTTTGATTTGTGGGATGACGGACCCCTGGGGCAATTTCCATCCTGTTGCGTTCTTCATCATTGGCGAGGAGTCCACCGACGAGTACGAATGGGCGATGCGCGAGTTGATGACAGTGTACGAGGCGGTTGTTGGTAGTCCCCTCAAACTACACTACGTCATGGGTGATGCTGCCAAAGCCCCAATCGCTGCATTGAAGAACCTGCCCCAACTTGGAATCAAGACGTTGCTGATGTGTTTCTACCATTGTGTGGCTTGCGTCAACAAGCGTTTGGGCGGGGCTCCAAAGCAAGTAAAGGCATTGGTTTCCAAGCACATGTTCAAGATGCACTTCAGCCGGAGTGAATTTGAATGCCAGCAGTACTGGGAAGCAGCCAAAGTCGCATGGTCGGCATGCGAAGTTCTCGTTGCCAAGGACTTTGCACGGTACTTCGAAGAGCAATGGTTCTCGGGGGACACTGCGAATTGGCAGGCGTACCATACCCCCAGTGGTTTTCCAACCACAAACAACCCATGCGAATTGTTCAACAAACACTTCAAAGGTTTGTGGTCAATCAAGTTGGATCTATACTTCAGTTCGACCTGACGTTGTAATTGTAGGGATATACACCCAGCGCACAGTTCATGGTTTATACGCAACGTTCCTTCTGCTGGGCACAATAGCCGAAGAGATATCGACGTACAGAGCCCAACCATTTGAAACGAGCCCATCGCCCAGCAAGAAGCTACTTTGGCGCTTTCGGCGTTTGGTGAAGTTTGCGCTGTTAGAAGTTGTCGCCACCAATCCAGCGTTTGAATCCGAGGTTGCCCCCCCCTTTCCTGCCATTGGAAGTGAGCCCGACAACACGCGGATTCGCAACATTATCCCTCATCTTGCCATTTCAGTGGCAATCGCGTTTGAAGACGAAGCCACCGAAGGTGCCTTGTGGATCGCATTGCAGGAGCGCGGTATTACATGTGTACCCGCACGCGATTTGGCCCTCGCCAATGCATACTACCACGGCGACCGGGCGAACAATATACGCCACGAATCGATTTGCGGTGGTCGTCCCCAACCGCCGAATGGTTGGCTTGTGACAACTTCCCCGGGACACTTATCCTGCGAGTGCAACTACTTCTTCAAGATGAAGTACTGTTGCCACTTGCTATTTGCGCTGCAAGAACAGTTCAAAGACGTGCGGGGCATGCCTTTGCCCCCTCAGCGGTTTGTTCGAAATGTAGCCCGACGAAGCGAGACAGCCCCGCGATTCTCTGGCCGTCGCCGAAGCTCTGGGGTAGGAGGAAGAAACGTTCGCAGTAGGCGTAATGTTGGCCCACCACTAGCCCTGTCCTGACAAGGTAATCACGGTGCTAAATAATTCTCTTGCTCGAGTACGTTGTAGTTTTATGATGCAGTGGGGGGGTGGACCACCTTCACCCGTGTCCCACGATTCCTGCTATCTCCGAACCCACAAAGTACTGTTTCAAGGGGTACTACCTCGTACAACCCCCAATGCCCATCAATCAGGTAGCTTTGGTGAAAAGCAAAACTGACTGTGAATATAAATAATAAAATTATGTACTAGAAGTCAGACTTGAACTCGGGACCGTTGGTTTGTTAAACTGACACTCAACCACTGAGCTACAGAATCTGTTACAGATTTGTTATATACTGAATAGAGATACGTTGCAACTTGCGGTCGTCACTTTCAAATTCGACATCGATGGGCATTGCACCTGCGCCTCAGATAATGGCTGGGGCACAATGCGTAGTAGCTACAATTGGTCTAATAACACTACACACGAATAATAAGTTGTGAATAACCCATGTTCATGTTATCGTTGTTGATGCATGTCATGTCGCCTTCGAATGTCCGCGTCCGGCCAACGCCGATGGCGATGGTCCTTTACGTGCTCATTGGAGCGGTCCTGCCTCGGTCGGTGGTGCGGTCGTGTCCGTTCGATGCCGCTCGTCTTTCTGAACCTGAACAAGATGGATTACATATGCTCTACGGAAGTCAGTTGCTACTGCCCTGTGGTAATCGATGACGTAGTCCTGCGCCGGATATCGATGACGTGGTCCTGCGCCAGTCGTGATGTGTGCGGCAGTGTTTCGCGGCATTCGCGGCGTTTCGTGGCGCTTGTATTGTTTAGACACGCCGGAAGTGTTTGGTGGCATCGTTCCTGTCGCAGTCACTTCCTGTTTGGCGGTCGGGGGCGGAAGTCCTGAAGGGATCGTTTGCGTGTGTCCTACGCCATCGAAAGCGGTTCAACCAAGGTCAGTGGCATCTGCTATGAGTGTTAATATCCCAACGAAAAGTGAAATACCTGCGCTGTGATGCTTCATGCGTGTTTCATGGCGTATGTCGCTGCTGCCCTGAGCACCCTGTGGTGTGGTCGGTGTCACAACCCGCGACTCACGCGTTTCTGAACAGGGTGTTGCCTGCGACCGAGGATGTAGTTCTGTTGGGGTACGGATGCGTTTGGCGTTTGGGCGGGTCCTCATCCACGGCAGATAGGGGTGGTCTGTGCAGCGTGCTTGAAGATGGTGGAGTTGATTTATACCTTGTGTGTTCTGAATTGTACTTATGTGTGGTTGGGATTAACCTTGTCCCAAGGGAACTTCCATTCGGGGGGGTCACCGCCCTCGTGCCATGACACTAACACGAGATTGTGTCCACTACGACGTATACATTACGGGTTTCCATTACGGGTTTACATTGCGGGGTCGATTCCAGTAAAATGTCGGTCGATACCTCGTCCCACGTAACGGATTGCGGGGCCGATTCCAATGAATTGTCGGTCGATGCCTCGTCCCACGTAACGGTTCACGTTTGTCCACACTGAAAGTCAAATCAATCAATTTGGGGTTTCGGGGTTCTGTCAAGTAAACCTTTGATATTACATAAATGGTGTCTACCTGACTTATTACGCTTGAGAGGTTATTTTTGGGCATTTCTCTCAAAAATATATTCCTCTCATTTTGCATTTTCCCAAAACCATCTAGTGCGAATCTGCAAGAGGCCTCTTACAAAGCCATCTGCTCAACCCATATGCTGGATAGTTGAAGTACTACGGTCCGATTTTCCGGAAATCCTTCGCGTTTTTCCGCTTTCTAGTCTGTTTTTCACGGTTAGCCCACGACGATGGGCATCGTGATTGCAAAGTTGAGAGGTGTACCACCAGTACAGTATCCACAGACCCGACGGCGCGACAACTGATACGTAAACAATCAATTTAAGAGCTTCAATCAATTTAAGATAAAATGTACATGAGCCAATGAAAAGACGTGAAATTTCCTTGAGCCAATGAAACGACGTGAAATAACCTAACCACACAATTTATCCGCTGTTGGTGGAAATACTTTGAAATAAAGCTGAAATTATACGCAAAATGGTGTAGTACTACTGTAGTACCTTGAAGTTCAGCTACCATACACATGTTTGCTTGTCCTCAAATCAGAGATCTTGCCACAATAGATCCAGTGACCCCACCGAAAATCGGACATACCCGTGCAGTAGTGTAAAATCATGCTTGCAAGCGACCCCTCGACTATTCTACTGTTTCTGCCACGGAAGCGCGGTGCTTGCAGTTCAGCATCAATTCTACTGCACTGTTATTGTGCTTTCAAGCTAAATTTGGTATCTTGGAGAAGTCGTTTTACTTGAACTAAATAGACACACTTTGAATCCTGTCAGATACAATGTTGAACTCTTTGTGAAATGGAGAAGCTTGGTAATACACCCGATATATCTGCAATTGGATTGGTCGAAAGTTTGTTATTGGCTACTTCGATTTGTCGATTTTGCTTCGTCGATTCGATTGGTAGACCCTTGAAATCGAATTACCAATATGAAGTGAAAGGTTTATTCGTACTAGTCGGATAAAAAAAAAGTCGCATTGACCCACACAGCGAGCGTACTGTATTTATCTGTAACGTTATACTACGTAGTACGTGGGTTCGCTTTTCAGTTCAAGATCAGAGATTTGTTCTACATATTTCAAATGTACTACTGGTACGTAGTAAATCGAATGGACATGTCGAGCTTCAACAAAGTCATGCAGACGAGACATCCCAAGTACCACTCAGTCCTTCACCTAGGTGCAGAAGTGCGCTCCAGTACATGTACGGTACAGTACTTTGTAGAAAGACTAATTCCCCCGTAGCAGGTACTGAGTATTAATACTAACTAGTATACCTTATCTTCAAAACACCCAAACTATACCTTTATTGTGGGAATTCTGAGACGCCTTACAATAGTCAATCAGGAGTGTGAGTTGAGGATTTGCTGCACAAATAAGTACCGTCTAGTTTAATTCGAGCCGGACGCTTGTATGAGTCGGACACCTCCATCAAATTATATATATGGGCATACAGGAATTCTCTGGTGCAAAAACTACTGGTACTTGTTAGCAAGAATTGCTCCGCTCGATGTTTGGAAGTCCTAGTAAGTATACTTCTGCATTTCTTCCAACTGGATCGCGTATAATAAAACTACAAGCATGCATAGCAAGCAGTAGAGAACGTGTGGGTATGAAGTCTTGGTGTCCTGATAAATAGTTGCGCGCGATGGAAGAATCATTCATCCAATATCTCGATAACTGAATGCAGCTTTCATTGGACACTGATCTTACCTTTGAGTATGTATCATCTTTATGTTTGTATACATCGCAATATTAATATAACAGGAATACAAGCTATTTGAATATTGTTAATCTGTACTGGTATCAATTGGTAGTTTGTAAGAGCATCTCCACCGCGCTAAACACAACCGTATTTTTCTACTATAGTACTACTATTCGAAGTTACGGATAATTTCTCTATTATCCGGGAAATTAGGTGATATTTGGTTTGGAGCAACACTAAATATATACGTATAGGGCCTGGTCGGGTCGACAGTAAACATAAACACCAAATTTCACGGATAACGTACATTTGTCCGAAAATTTACCGGATACAAGAAATGCTACTCCGAGTATCCGGGAAAACCGAAGTTAATTTTACTGCCAAACCTACTGCTATCGCTAAAACGAGAAAATTAATACTACGTAGTACTAGTAACGGTACTCAAGTATCACCTAATTTCCCGGATATTATCCGTAACTTCGAATAGTAGTACTAGTATTAGAAAATTACGGTTGTGTTTACAGTTGCGCGGTGGAGATGCTTTACAGTTATTGTGCTTTTCATATAGTTTGCCCGTTGTTTAACTGCGTTAAACAACCAGACGTTTAAAATAATATAAGCCCGATTGAATATAAAACAACGCTAAACACAAGTTCTGCATTTCAGCAGAATAAAACAACGCTTACTTTATTTCAACTGCTAACTAATCGAGTTGCAGCACCAGGCCAACTTACACCGTACAACCACCAGTTCATCACGATGCATACCGTATTAGGATGTGAAATGGGAGTACTATACATCATGTAGTCGTAGTGCGCCATTGCCTTCCACGTACAGTGCTAAGGTTAGAGCAGATCAAGAGTTGAAGGTATGGCATAGCTTTGAATCATTGGACAGAGCGACGACTACATGTACTGTAGCCTAACTATATCCCTAACGTTATATACATTACTCGGAGTAGATAATGTTAGTACTGTAGTGATCACGGATGGGAGGTCATGTATGTGGCCATAGCTCCTTCAGTTTCATTGCGTCAAGCACCTTGACATGTTGACGTAAAGCAAGTTGTTTGCCAGAATGAAAACGGCAAACAACTTGTTTTACGAAAGTGCCAGTAAAACCACCTTCAACCAACCAATCATCGCATTAGATGAAGTAACTTTAAACAACGCACCCAACCGTTATTCAAGTTACTTTAGACATTATTTAAGCCTGAGAAATTTTTAAACAATGAATTTAACCCTGGAATTGCCAAAAAAGGTGCAAAGCACAATAATACACTTCCAGTTAATATATTTGAGGGTGAACACATGCATCCATTAATACTAATTTTTGTATGTCCGGAGCGAAAACAAGAATGAAGTGTCTCAGGGTTGGATTCGGATACGGCACATGGCAGTCCGACTCGAATTAAACTAGACGGTACTAGTATTGTGGCTGGATTCTTAATGATAGCAACA